ACCTGACACACGTGCGTTTCTGACAAATCTGAACACGTCTGTACCAGGTACGTGTCTGAACAAGTCTGTACCAAGTGCGTGTTTCTGACAAGTCTGACGAGCACAATACCAAGATTCGTCATATTCAGGCACTCATGTCGCCTTACAACACGCACTTGGTACAGACTTGTTCAGACACGTACCTGGTACATACGTGTTCAGATCTGTCAGAAACACACATGTGTCAAATGCGTGACTAAAAGCGTAACCACCTGAAACGTGTCTTTCTGTCTCTGCTTTAGTCCAGAAAAACATTTAGTCAACGAACTAAACAAGTGAATTTTTTTAAAATTTGTATTTTTTTGGTTAAAAACCCACTACTCTCGCAGGAGGAGTGCACAAAATTAATCTAGTGAAAAACCTTTTTACTTTTGTCGTAGAATTTTTTTTTATGCCACATTCACATTAAAATAATGAATCCCATTGTAAAAAGTAAAGAGAAAATATTAGTAGGACTCACTTATTTTTACGTGAGCGTAGGAAAGAAATTTTCTTTGTAAAAACATAAATCCATTCATATGATACATGCATTATGCGCCAACACACTTCTAATAAATAGGGCGTAACCATCATGAGTCTGTCTCTCGGCTAAACAATAGAGGATGCATTTAATGGTTCACCAAGGAGGCCATGAATTAATATCGGCTGAATGGAATGGCCACATGTGCATTTATTTAGGTAATACTGAATACCTGAAACAGCCTTGCCTTCTCTGTTAGAAATGTTATCACTATAATCATGCATGTATACAGCATACATGTCTACGCAGTATATTCATCTTGCGCTTAAGGATATCAATATAGGTTATGACATGTGGGTTGACTTGTGACACGTCACAAAAATTTGTGTTCGAGTTGACTCGTAAAAAAATTCGTGTCGTGTTTGTGTTGGGAAAAATGACACGTAAAAAATTCGTGTCGTGTTCGTGTTGATGTATTTGTGTTCGTGTTGATCCGTATTTTATTTAATTATTTTTTTTTTTAAAAAAATAAATAAATTTTGAATCATTTTTTTAATTTTTTTTGTCAATTACTATTTTGACCCATATTTGACGTGTTATTCGCGTCGGGTCAACCCGCAAAAAAACCGTGTCGTGTCAGTATTAAAGATTTTGACACGAATAAAAATTTGTGTCGTGTTAGTGTTGATGTATTTATGTCGTGTCAAATTCGTGTCGTATCAAATTCGTGTTGTGTCAATCCGTTTTGACACCCCTAATCTTGCTGACCAGTCAACATGTATCTAATTACAATAAGCTAAATAACAAGCAACCACAGAGAATAAAAGATATGTAATGATTAATATACTAAACTTTTTTGCGTATAGGATATATAATCACAATGCATGTTACATGGTAAGTGAGTACTAGAAACAGACAAAATAAATAAATAAATAGCAACTTAGACAAACAAACAGAAATTAAGTGCCCCCTTTCCCCCATATTTCAGGCTGAGTGATGTAACTTCTTCTCTCCAAGTGGAGCAAACGCAATTGAGCTCTGAATACTTTTACAATATTCTAGTTGTTTCTCATTGATATGACAAAGAGGACGAGGTTTAAATAAGCTTAGAATAAATATATAGTTTTGAATAATGAATTTTACACATCTAAATAATGAATATAGATCTGTAGAAACCATTTTGAGAGGTTTTTACTGGGAATATAAATATATCAGAAGCTATGAGAGACACAATGCATCCATTGCATAGTACTTTGCATGCACAAGGAATATGTAATATATGCAAAAGAAAATAAAGAATGAAGCAACATGATTGGCACATCATTGCAAGTGACTTGCGAAATATTCACGGGTACCCACTTGTGTTGAAATCCTCTCATACTTGTTTAAAAATCTGTATACCACGAGAACTCATTGGACTTGAAGAGTAGAAAAAAATTCCACTAGAAAGAAAGTGGAGGCAGTGAGAATCAAACCCGGTATACTAAGGCTTTGATATCATGTAAACTTAAGTTGTTGGGTGATGATACATTAATAGTTTTATATATCACAATACTTACTCTTTTCCAATGATACGCACTTGGTCAGTAAAATAATCGTTTTCAAAAATAACATAGTTATCAACTTAGTTAAGTAAGAAATAAGAACACGAATTAGACATTCAACAATTAAAATAATATTATTTTATTATTAAAAAATAAATTTATTTAAAACAAATAATATGATATAGATCGCCTATAAGCTTATGGAATCGGAATGTAAAAGAAAATACCTGTTTTATAAATAAATTTTTTGGTAGACTTAAATTTGTTCTATTTAATTATAGGGTAAAACTACTCTCATGTAACATAATTTAAACAAATTTTCCTACTCAAACAAAAATGCATGTAGGTCTCGTACATGTAATAAAAACAAAAAGTAAAAAATGATGGTGCAGAAACCAACGAGTCAATAGATAAAAAATTTTATATCATGTTACATGATACTTCTTTTTTCTTTAATTATATATAATAGACTTAACATGACTCGATATAAGCTGAGCCATAGGCCCATATTAGACCGGCCGACCCATTTAGTCCGTTGTATTGCATACAAGTGTGAATGGTTGTTACTTGTGAGAAATGGCCTCAAAACATCCATCCGATTGCTAATATAAAACTATTATTCTATACATTAAAACTTTAACACCATTAAAATAGAGAAATGAATCCAGAACTCAAATAGCAAATCAAGTGCAATATTTCCTTGTCGCCTGTATCACTTTCAGTTCTCCAAGATTTGGATAGCAGGAAAAAATTACACTGTTATTACTACACAGATTTTACTCAATGTGGATCTAGCACTTTGATTGATCCAAGAAAAACTGAAACCTCGGCCTAGTGGCCATACCCAAATATCCTCGGTTCTTAACCATCAAAGGCCCATTAGCTGTGATCCCCATTAAGTTATCTGAAAGAGGGTGAAAATAGGAAAGAAAAAAAATGCAGAACAAAAAATTTATTTAAAAAATTGATAATTAGAAGAACAAATTTTTTTAATAAACAAAAAGTAACGAAGACTTCCTCCCACGGGTGATTTATATCATTATTATTTAAAGAGATACAACTGTTTTCTTTTAATAAAACAGTCCAGTTTTTTCATTAGTTGTTGTCCAATAATGTGTAATATTCGCATAAATTAGTAAACATTTTCTTAGCGCAAATAGTTGTAAAGATCTCTTGGCAATAGAATTTTTGGGTCAATATGCGACATCTTTTGAAATTTCCACGGAAGAGCCCCTTATCTGCATATTAATTCGATCTATATTTAAGTATATTATGCAGACTTTTAAATTTGTTGATTTTGTGTTCAAAAGCACAGCACTCACATCAACAGTCGTTGTAGTATAGTGGTGAGTATTTCCGCCTGTCACGCGGATGACCCGGGTTCGATCCCCGGCAACGGCGTTCGACTTTTAACCTTTTGCCTTACAAAAGCCATTATATCATAAAAAGTATGGTTTACGCGAAACATGTTGATTGGGGGGGACTTTATTTTTTAAGGCATAAAGAACGAGACGGAATCAATGAAAAGGTCAATTCAAGGAATAAATTAAAATGCTTTTCCCTAGTGGTTGCTCCACCATGTCTTGTGGGCTTCCCATGAGAACACTTTCGCATTAATTACGTTGTGAAGTATCAACGTTGCCATGTTTAAAATATTTAGTATCCAGTTAAAGAAGCATAACCTGCAATGAAGTATACGTTTTCTGTACAGTGTTTCTTGGCCTGAAAAACCTTAATGGAGTGTATGGCGCTGGTGAATATGGAAATTCTTCAGGAAGCTGGCAGCTCAGGATGAGAATGCTGCTGCAGTTTCTGATATAGTGCTTCGTAAAGTAATGAAAATATATAGGTCAGAACCCTGCTTGCCTCTGCGCTGTTATGTTTATCTAACACTGCCTAGAGTACTGAAATCAAACCCAGAAGTCCCAGTGAGTCAATGACCATTCCTAAATGTTGCAATATAGCTGAACCGGGTTACAGGTGGGTGGTTTGTTATATATCATTTTACTGATCATTTCTTAGCAAAACTCCTATAGTGAAAGAAAGAACGAATAGAAAATCATTTTGCCTTATTTTGTTTTGGCTATTTTGAAGTACTCAAATTATGCATTAAATTTTGAGAAATCTTTTTCTTATGTCAGTTATCTTACGTTAGTGAAACAAATAATAAAAGGGACCCACAAATGATTGGAGAGAAAAATAAAAATAAAAGTGGGACCCACTTTCGTTATGTGTGTAGGAAGATGAGTTATCTTATGTTGAACGAAATGAATATAACCCTTAAATTTTACTTACAAATTATGTGTTTTGCAGCTTACTCAATGCCTTGAAGACTATAGGACTTGGGAGTCATGGCTGTGAGCATGCAAAAATTAGTGGTGTGAATCTAATGGATCATCTGAATTATAACTATCGTTTGGTTTGTATTGCATTACATGATTAAATAAATTTCTACACATGTTTTATAGTAATAAATAACTAAGTTTTTCCAACGAGGATTAACACACTTGATCGAATTTTTCACCCACACTAGCCATCTCTTACATTGATTCCCAACTTGATAAGTGATATATAATTCCATTATAAATGAGGTTGATGGTTTGCCATGGTCCTTCAATGAAATGTACCTTTCCCTAGTTTAAATTTTAATATATTAATAAAAAGTAACTTTTTATTTTTAAACAAAAAAATAACTCCAATCTTAAGACACAAAAACATCTATATAAGTTCCTTAAAGTTTTGAAGGTCATTCCTTTCAATTGATGGAATTTATGTCCTCCTATCATCCTTGAATGCACATTTGTTCAAATTTTTTTTTTATCGATTCATTAATTATTCGACTAATCTAATTTCAATCGAGCGGAACCATGATGGTGACAATGACAAATACCAAGTTTTTAATTCCAAAGCAATGGTTAAGCAACCCACGTTTATCCATTCTCAAAGTAACTATGTGTACACTCAAAAGGAAGCAAGAAGTGTTATTATTACTTGTCATGGCAGTAAGTTTTACTACAGTCTACAGAGGATGAAGACCCGCAAATCACAGAGTACATGGAACAGGATCACATCATTACGCAACAAAAATCTAAAGTTAAGATACCAATACAAGACTTTTTTAATGAAATACAAAGCAAGGAGCAGCAGTTTTGGCCTCAAGCTACTGTTTGAGGTTTCACTGCTGAGGAGATTAGCTTAAGTGTGAAGCCCGAGCTTGGTTGATGATGGACTAGCTTATCGGCTATTTGGGACAAAAAGGACCCAACACGTAGACCAAAGACTAGTAGCCTTGTAGTATATATGTTCTACCATGACTTATTTCCATAGAGTTAATTACAGTAGACAGCAGTGTAAGTGGTCGATCTTCACCCTGCAATAGTACTGTCAACAAAAACCATGTTACTTAGCTGAGTTACGTTAAATAGAGAATCCATTAAATACACATGAACATGTATATGCTTTTACTGAGGTAGATACCAGCAGAATGTGCCAGAGTTTTTCAAATTTTGTTGGTATATAAAGATTTTAATAGACGATGTATTGGATTTAAGTTGCAATATTTGAGAAAAGTTAACTGTAGCAGGGAGTGAGCACAATAAGTCAATAGTGAAATAAATTCTTCTAGCCAGTTACACAAATTGTAGTTTTACTCCGATTACCTAATTTTTGAATTTTGTGTTTCTTTTTAATGAAATAGGCATCAAATTGATGATTCGGGTTAGTCTCTTGAATTCTATATGTATCTAGGCAAGTCAAATAGATACCTGGTCTGCAGGATGACGAATTTTTCTTCCCATGGCATAGTAATATTAATAATAAAGGGAACCTGCAGAAACCGAAAATAATAGAGGTGCACTGAGTGAGTAAATTGTCTTTCACTAAATTGACTTTTATTTTATTTTATTTTAATAATTGATTTAGCTACTACTCAAGTCCTGCTCTTACCTTCCCACCAGTTCCCTCTTGTAGCGCTGTTTGAATCGTTGCCAGTGGGTTCATCATTATCCTTATCTTTTTTCAGCTGCAAAGATGAAAAATATAAAGTATTAGTTAGCTTCTCATCATTGCATATTCCAATTGGCAATTGCAAGTCATCTTCTTTTGTCTTTTTGTTTAATCGCATTAATATTTCTCGTGATTGTGAAGTTAACCTCGTTACATAATATTTTTATTACTTATTAATTTCAAATATATTCTATATTACATGAAACAAAGTTACAAAAATATAAATACTTGAAACAAAAACTCACACGGGGAATTAAATTTAGAGTAAAAGTTTACGGTTAATCGATCTGGACGACGTACTTGGACTTTATTTTGAAGTTGCGTTTATAAGTTTTATGCTAAACTATTTAACTTATGTTCTATGTATGATTAAAGATAAAATTTATATGAAATAGATGAATGGCAAAGAGATACATATAATGTCATAAATTAATTTGGAGACAGTGATGCATATATAATATACATAAAAATTACATTAGTTTATGTGAAGTGTCAATTTCAAATACAATCCTTTTTGTCAAACAAGGGACATAGAAAAGGATGAGAATCATGGCACTCACAACATGGTGGGGTTCAGTGGTCCTGCTTCTCGGGGAATAATTTTCTTGACCACCATAGTAGATCGAAGAGCTGAAGTAAATAGGCTCCACAGTCTCATTCTGATAATTGGCACTGCTATTTTCACCTTTATTACGGTGAATTCCTACAACGAATCCAAGTCCTGAACCATTACCAAATAAGTACAGACAATCAAAGGAGTTTTAAAGCTATATATATATATATATATATATATATATGGCTCCCAGTACGTAGACAAGATTTGAGATGTGCTGAATTGAAGAGGTAGGTAGCTAGCTGAATGTCATGTAGTCAAGTAAAAGTAATTAATATTATACACAGGTACATATACGAGGAAACTTCTGAACGAACCTGGTGCTCCAAATTTTTTGTTTCCCACATCTTGTGTTCTTGAATCTCTCCCTCCAACCTTACAAGTTAAAAAAGAGCAAGAGAGTTGAGTATATGTGATACATCAATTAGAATCCACGAACTAGTATATGATATATAGTTATGGTTGGCAACCCAAAACGAAAACATTTTAAAATTTAGAAGAAAATAAATAAATTGTAATTTAAGAAAATCATGTTGAAAAGAGAAGCAAAATTTCTAATACGCCTTTAATTTATTTTTTCCACGAAATCCTAAAACAACATTATTTTGAATTATAGCTGATAAAATTATCTCATATAATATAATAGGAGAAATAATTTTAAACCTGATTAGTTACCAAAAATCAGATAAGTGTTTAACCATAATGCCCTCAACGGGTATCATGTTGCTATATTTATTCAGTTCGATGATATACTACGCCATTACCAAAGTTAAGTCGGAGAACTACTACTATGCCATTACTAGCTAACTCTCAATCCAGAAAAGAGATTTGAAAAAAAGTGTAGGGTTGGCTGCATAAAATTGAGTAAAACCTGTGCATGTAAATAACATAAAATCTAGTCTTCAGTAGATAGAAATTAGAAATTTAAGAAGGTTATGCATACAGCAGATGATGAAGGGGAAAAAATGGAGCCAAAGATGCTGGTGGTGGAAGATGAAGTAGAGGATGAGTCCTTGGGGCCAAAGAGATGATCGAAATTCATGGTTGATGAGGAAGAACCCATTGCTTGCTTTCTACTTTTATCCATGTTTGTAGATAGGTGGGTGTATAGCAAGCTTTGATTTGGAAGAGATTTATTTGTCAACCAACGAACAAAACTAGTATATGGATGAGTATTCCCTAACGACCAATGACACAAAAAAGGAAGGATTGGATAGAATTTGCAGAGAAAGAGACCAATAAAGAAGATACTAAGGAGAAGGCAAAAGGATAGCAATGACACTTGAAGTTAGCATATGTATCTATGAAATACAAAGGATGTGGTGCTATTTATATGTATTATGGACCTAACATCAATACTCACAAAGCTAAGAGAAATATTAATAAAAGGTTTTTTAATTATATTAATATCATTGATGGCAATGGATCAAGATTGGACCCTTAAAAATCTATAGAGGTCCAAAATTTCACTACCTAAGAAAAACTCTATTAATAAGAGGTAAAACCTATATGTATGTACACTTTTGAACGCTCTCTCTTAACTGTCATATGCACGCACCTCATATACCTTCTATTATAGTGCACGTTGATTTGCTTCCCTTTAAAATATCTCTCTCATAAATATATGAGAGAGCACACCTATATTTTATACAAACACACTAATCTCTCATTAGACATCTCGATATATCCTTCTAAGATCGAACAAGTTCCAAAATTCGCAGCCTATATGGTACTAAGCGACTTAAATCGTAATAGTTGTGTAATCGATAAACGGATGAATAATATATACATAAAAAAATTCGTAGCCTACTAGGTCAAATTAGTGTCCTCATCAAATCCCAATCTTATTGGGTAATTTCCTTAATTTTATCCAATCAATCCAATTGATTGGTTTCCCAAATTTAAGCCAATTAATTTAATTAATTGATTTTCTTAATTTTAGTCAATCAATTCAATTGATTTGTTTCTCCAATTTCAGCCAATCAATTTAATTAATTGGTTTCCTTAATTTTGGTTAATCAATCCAATTGATTTGTTTCCCCGATTTCCGCCAATTAATTTAATTAATTGGTTTCCTTAATTTTGGTCAATCAATCCAATTGATTTATTTCTCCAACGTCAGCCAATTAATTTAATTAATTAGTTTCCTTAATTTTCGTCAATATTCAATCTAATTGATTGGTTTCCAATCAATTTAATTGATTGATTTCCTTTATTTTCTTCATCTTCATTAAATCTAATTTAACGACTATATTTAAATTCAAATTTCAAATTCGAAATTCGAAATCATAATTCAAATTATTTAAATTCAAATTTCAAATTTGAAATTCAAAATTAGAATTCAAAATAATTTTATTAATTTAACATTTAAATTAATTAGGTTACATCATGGATCAAGTCCAACTCGACCCATGATGCCACCTACTCTCTCTTGGCCCAATATGTGAGCTTTTCAAACTTAGGCCCATTATGTCTTATTGTGCCCAAACCACATATGTTATAATTCAAGACAACTTAAGGTGTTTGTGTGCAACCCATCAGGCCTAACATAGACACTGACATAAATGGCTTGGGCTCAATCCATCCAATGACAACATAGAGCACTAGCAATGCTTTGTTGTCTCAGAGCTAGTTGAGTTCATCTAATGATCAACCTATCATACTTATTTGATTACCGTGTGATTTGTACTTTCGTCTCGGTTATCCGTCCTATTGACTTAGGTCAAAGAAAACATATCAACCCTTGTGGTCTAGGGTTAGCTTTTATCGAAATGGGAAATCTTCATTTACGGACTCTAAAGAGCGGGCCATCTCATGTCTCCTTTACTATGCATAGATTCCTAAGTCCCGTAAATGTCATCCTGGTTTCACCGATCTACGAATAACATAATCTCTCACAGAGATTGATGAATTCCTTCAGTTTGTCACACTAGCCCTGAGTCCTTAGGGCAAGCCCAAGGGTGTGCATGGCAACCATTCTCTTCCTTGGCATTGTTTCTGAAAAGAAATAATTTTTTTCTATTTCTGTGCCTTGGAACAATTTCTGAGAAAAAAAACATGTTTGATAACATCTATTTTTATTCCGAGAATGAGAATTGCGTTTGATAACACGTTTTATTTTTTATTCTGAGAATCAAAATTACTTATAAATCTATTTCTTTACTTTTTGTTTACAAACTTCGTCACTTGTATAAAATTAGGGTTGGCAAAAACGAGCCAACCCGTCGGGTTGGCTCGTAACCCGCAAAAAATGAGCTGCTAACCCGGCTCGTTTCAAACCGTGAAAAAACGAGCCAACTCGGGGGTTAAACAAGCCAGCTCGTGGGTTGAGTTTTTTTTTTTATAAAAAAATACAAAATATAATATACAAAAATGGACAAAACCCGCACATGGTGTCATCATTTTTCTTCCTTCTCTGAACCTAAGTCCCAAATCTTCTCACATCCCTGCCATTTTTATGTTGTTAGGCTGTGCTGGCTCTGTCTGGTTCAAATATCTTACCCACTTGGTAGCAAGTAGTTCTGATTGTTTCTGGATGTTGATGCAAATTTATTGTGAAGAAAATTCGAAACTAAAATATTTTGCTTTTACTTCTTATTTTGTAACCCTTTGTTTAAGTTAATGGAAGCCACATAGTTGGTGCATTAATACTACAGGATCATTTAAATAGGCTAAAAATGAGCCAACCCGCGAGCCAATTCGCGAGCTATTTTTTCAAGCCAACCCACGAGCCATATTTTTGAGCCAACCCGCGAGCCAACCCTAACCCGACTCGGATCGAGTTAGGTTGGGTTTTCTGGCTCATTTTTTTTTCGAGCCAACCCTAACCCAGCTCGTTTTTTCGGGTTAAATGCGGGTTGGGTCGGGTCGAGTCGGGCTGGGTTGACCCGTTTTGCCAACCCTATATAAAATAACAAATTGCAATAGATTTTAATTGAAATGACAACATTTCATATTTAAAAAAATTATCTAAAAAATTAACCATTATTTTTCATTCTCTTCTCAATTCATTTTTTTTTATTTCTTATTTCCTTGACCATTTCATTTTTTTGTGTGATAAAAATCATTTCATTTTTAATACCACATTATTACCTTAATATTAATGATACAAATGAACAATTCATATTATTACCTCCAAAATGAACAATACGGGATGTCAAGCATGTGGTATATATTCAAGTAATGGAAATATTGGGATACTACACAACGAACAGTAGACAAAAGAATTACAGAAGGGATTTCAATCTTTCTGATGCAGTAGACAACATTTTAAAACTGATCAGAAAGGGATTTCAATCTTTCTGATGCATTGAACTAGAACAATTACATGAGAAAATAACAAAATATTCACTTTTCTCCAAGGCAGCGTCAAAAGAATTGAGAACCAAGGAGATAAGAATGAAACATTTTTGTTCCATTCGTCCTATTTCATTCTCATTTTTGTTCCGCGATGAAGGAGGGTTGTGGTCTGCTGATATGTTGAAGGCCAGTGATGGTTTGATGTTGGTGTGTGAGGGGGTATGAAGAAGCGAGAGAACGAGGGAAAAATGATTCTATTTTTTTGCCCGTAATGAGAAAAACTGAATTTTTTTGATTCTTTTTTTTGTTTCTCGGCATAAAAATTAAATCGGTTCATCCGGGGAACAAAAAAATAAAACGGTTTTACCAAACAAGTTTCTCATCCATTTTTATTCCCGGAAACAGAAATTAAAAAAAACTCATTTCGGGAAGGTTGTCATGCACACCACAAGAGTATACCTACAAATTTCCATGAAGGTATACAATCAAAGCAAGCCTTCCAGAGCATGGGTCTATATGACAACGTCAGGTCTAAGGAAAGACACACCCAAATATAAGAGACATTACATATTGACACTATATGTGAGATTTACTTGTAGTGTCTCTTTGTGGGTCAATTCAGTGCAAGCTATTCTTCAATAGGTCCACCCACGAGTCAGCTAAGACATGCAATATCTAGTTACTCATATTCAATATTTGAGACATGCAATATAAAATAAGATAAAGAATGCTTTTATTCATAAAATTTATTCATAACAAATAAAGAAGTATATGGGTCCATCTGACTCTCAGATTGTCTCTAGGACACCTATGTACTAACAAACCTTCCTGGAATGAGTTTTTTTTTTTTTTAATTTCTTTTCCCGGGAACAGAAATGGATAGAAAATTCGTTTGGTAAAATCGATTTATTTTTTTGTTCCCGGTATAAACAAGTTAAATTTTTGTGTTGGAGAACCAAAAAAAGAATAATTTTTTTTTTGTTTTTTTTTCTCGGGCACAAAAAGAGAAACACTTATCTCTCTTAATCTCATCACCACCACCACCATCATCATCCTGACACGACCACCGCCTCCATCATCGCTGTCGTTGTCACCATCACCACATCCTCCACCCATCTCCATCGTCACTGTCGCCGCTACCACCACCACCGTCACCACCACCACCATCATCGCAGCCATTGCCGCCATCACCATCACTACGTCACCACCAACATCAACACCATCACCACCACCACCACCACTACCACCACCGCCACCGTCACTACCACCATCACAACCATAACCATGCCATCGCCATCACCACCACTACAACCACCGTCACCAATCACCATCACGATCGTCGCAACCACTGCCGTCACCACCACCACAATGCTACCACCTCCACAATACCACTACTACCACAACCACCACCATCATCGCCACTACAGCCACCAACCACCACCACCATCATCGCAGCCACTACTGTCACCACCATTACTATTACCATGCCATGACCACCATTATCATCACCACCATTACCACCACCACATCACCTCCACCATCACCATTATAAGTGTGAGTAATAAGTAATAAATTTTTATCCGGATTAAAAATAACGAAATTTAGAAAACGCATAAATCCAATGCTTTCTCATACTAAGGCTGTTCAGTATGTCATAAAAAAATATTTAGGAAAATGGAATATTTAACATATTAATAATTCAAAAATTAGTATTTTATATTTTTAATTCTTAAAGAACGTGTTAAAGACATTCATTGTATTTGTTTAACATATAATATGAACAATATATTTTTATAAATGACAGTTATTTTAGATGTTTTAGTTTATTTAAAAATTATTTCTCATTTTAAAAAAATAAAATAAAAATTAATTGTATTTTTATAATTTAATTTTTATCTTATGGTATTTATGGCTTGAAATTAAAGGGAGTAAAAAGATGTTTACCAGGGGGGGGTGTGTGTGTGTGTTAAAAAGATAAGTTGTATTTC